GGAGACCAAGGAGGCCTCTCTCACCCTTTCTACCATATGAGGACCCAGCAAGAATAAGGAAGTGTACCCTTACTAAACACAGAATCTGCTGACATCTTGCTCTTGGACTTCCCAGCTTCTAGAACTTAAGTAATAAATTTCTGTTGTCTATATGCCACCTAGTTTTTAGTATTTTGTCATAACAGGCAAAACAATAATACTAAGAATCTCTAGAACAGTGCTGTATAATATTCTATAATGATGGGACTATTCTATATCTGTGCTGTCCAATAGAGTAGGCATTAGCCACATATAGTTATTTGGCAGGTGTGACCAAGGATTTTATTTAACTTTAATTCATTTAAATTTAAATAGGCCCATGTGACTGCTGACTATCTTATTTGACAGTACAATTGTAGAGAAGGTCAGAACTGTTTGAGAAAGGAAATCTGGATGGTCATAGTGGGTTTTGTGCAAGGTTAGAGCAGATTGTTTGAGTGGGCAGAGGGAGCTGGTGACCAGGAGAGAACAGAGCTTAAAGCAGAAAAGAAAGCAGAGAAGTCAGAGAATTCACCTTTTAGTTGAGTGAGTTCTTGTTTTTTGCTTCAAATGGGTCTAAGTTTGTACAAAGTGCTTCGGAAGCCCAGTGGAGGGAGTGTCCAAGTCTACTTTGAGGTTCGGGAAGGAACATCTGAGGTATGTCCTAGAGGGAGTTTGCCAGATAGGAGAAAAAGAAGCAGGGGCATTCTGGAGGGACTTGTGTCAGAAGCCAAGAAGTGGGAAAGGACAGGCAAGCCAAAGGACAGGGGATGTTATACAGCACTACCTACTTCATATGCTTGTGGTGACATTAGATGACAAAAGAAATACAGTAGAACCTCTGTAAATTGACTACCTAAGGGTCTGTAACAAACTGGTCAACATATGGAGGTGGTGGTTAACATTAAGGAACTAGGCCTTCTGTACTAATACTTACATGTGGTGCATGTCTGGTCTACAAAAATTAGGTCAACTAAAGGAGGTGGTTAAGGTAGGGAGGCTGTCACCTACAGAGGTTCTACTGTATTATAGCTTTTATAATTTGGGCTCTTTCTATATTCATTCAATATTTACAAAAACCTATAAGGTATGTTTTATTACTCCATTTTACATATGATGAATATGGAATTTAGAGAGGTTTAGTGATTTTTTTCAAGGTCACACATTATGTTATCTAGCTCCAAAATCTGAGCTTTAAACTTCTGTAGGTTACTACTATCGTATAATTCTAGTGCATTATTATATTATTATTATATGCACTAGAATTATAATTATATTAATTTAAATATAACTTGTTTAGAGTACTTCAGCACAATGGCTGCCATATAGTAAATGCTCAATACAATTTAACTATCTCTAACTCTTATAGCATAATGACTCAAAGAAGGGCTTTGGAGTCAAATGGATCTAGGTTCAAATTCTGGCTCTACCCCTTCCTAGCTCCAAGAAAAGAAAATCTAGGACCTTTGTTGATTTGTAAAATGGGATGTATTACCTAATTCTCAAGGTTGTTGTTAGACAAATGAGTTTGTGTGTGGACATATGTACATATTTATATATGCTGTAGAACCTCTGTAATTTGACCACCCAAAGGACTGTAGCAAAATGGTCAACAAATAGAGGTGGTCAACATAAGGAACTAGGCCTACTGTATTGATATGTACATGTGGTACATGTCTGGTCTCTAAAAATTAGATCAACTTAAGGAGTTTGTCAATGTAGGAAGGTGGTCAACTATGGAGGTTCTTGCTGTGTATAAATTATCTTGCACATAGAAAATGCTTAGGCAAAGATAGCTATTTATATTATTCTAGCAAAAAGGAACAAGTTGGGCAAAGGCTTAAGGTGAGGAGAGAGAAAGAGAGGAAGAAGTGAATTCCAGGGCTTGAATGTATTTTATTTTGTCAGGAGCAAAGGGTGTTTGAGGGAATGGTTTAGAAATGAGGCCGTACAGGTCAACAAATCCGATCTTCAGAGTCTGGTAGGTCATGCCAAAGAGTCTGGAAGGACAGTGGAGCCAATCTGACAACACATGGACAAGTGTGTCCTGTAGGAAAGGCTAGGTTATGCTACAGTAACCAATGTTCCCAAGCATCTGAATGGCTTACAAGAACAAAACCAAAAGCATATCCTTTGGGGATCACCTGTGGCTCTGTTTCATTTCATCTTTAGCCTGGAATCTAGGCTGATGAAACAGCTTCTCTCTGAAACAAATTGCTTGCAGACAGAAAAGAAAAATATTGAACCCACAAACTGACTCTAAAAGCTTCTGCTTGGGATTGACATTCCTAATTACATTTTACTGGCCAAGGCGAGCTGCCTAGTCATGTCTACCATCAGCGGGGCTGAGGAAAGGGTAAGTCATAGAGGAGGAGCAGAACATTTGGCAGCTAGGTAATAAGAATAGATTCTGTGGCAAAAGAAAATGAGTGGTAACTCTACTGAAAAATGGGCAAAGGACTTGAATAGACATTTCTCCAGGACACTACACCAATGGCAAATAAGCACACGAAAAGATGCTGTCAGGGAAGTATAAATCAAAACTCCGATGAGGTGCCACTTCACACCCATTAAGATTTTTTAAAATAATATTATAAAAAAGGCAAGCAGTAACAAATGTTGGCTGTGGAAAAACTGGAACCTCATATGCTATTTGTGGGAATGTGCAAGGGTGCAGCTGGTTTGGTAAACCATCTGGCAGTTCCTGAAAAGTTAAACATTCAGTTACCACATAGCCCAGAAATTCCACTTCTAGAGATACACTCAAGAAAAATAAAAACATATGTCCCCACAAAAACTTGTACATGAATGCTCATAGCAGCATTATTCATAATAGTAAAAAAGTAGAAACAGCCTAGATGTGCTTCGACTGATTAATGGACAAATAAAAGGTGGCATATATTCCATATAATGGAATATTATTCAGCCAAAGAAAGGAATGAAGTATCAATACATATTGGAGTGTGGATGTACCTTGAAAATATGCAAAAATGAAAAAAGCCAGTTACAAAATACCATATTACATGATTCCCTTTGTATGAAATGTCCAGGATAGGTAACTCTATGTATACAGATAGATTAGTGTGCCTATGGCCATGGGTGTTGAGGGGAAATGGGAGACTAACTGTAAATGAGTACACAGGATTTCTTTTTGTGGTGATGAAAATGTTTTAAAATTGTAGCAATGGTTACATACCTCTGTGAATATAGAAAAACCCTTAATTTGTACACTTAACTGGGTGAATTATATGGTATATAAATTATATTTTAATAAGACTGTTTCATATATATGTATTTCATATATGTATATATAAGAAAAATGAGTGGTATTTATTTTTGTCTTATTGATTTTGAGAGACTCAAGTGGAGATGACCAATAGGTAGTTAACCACGTGGATCTGGATCTCCGGAGAGAAATCAGGGTGGGAGATGTATGTTGGGCAATCAAGAGCACAATGGTGCTAAGTTATGTAAAAGGCAGCAATCATGTAGAGGGAGTAAATGCGGTGGAAAAAGAAAAAGAGTGAGGGGCTTCCACCTGTCTCTGCAGGATACCAACATTTAAGGGACGGGAAAAATAAAGGGAGGTGTCAAAAAAAAAAAAAAGGGGAGTGGTTGGAGATAAAGTATGATCAAGAGAGTTAAAATGGAAGGCAAGGAAAGAAAGTGTTTCCAGAAGGAAGTAGTGTCATGAAGAGAAATTAACTTAGGTCATGATGATAATGCCCACAAGATCTGCAGGAGGGAAACCTCTAGGGACTTTGGAAAGAATGGTTTCCAGGGGGCAGTAGGCCAGAAACCAGACTGCAGTTGAGTCCAGACGTGAGTAGTAGTTGAGGAATTGGAGACACCTTGTTTAGATAATTGGAGAAACGTAGCTCTGAAAGGCAGGTATGAAAAGGGTAAAAAGAAAGCAGAGGTTTAAGTTGAGTCTGGTGGGGTTGGATGGAAGATTTCAAGATGGGAGAGATTTGACGTTGCTTACATTCTTACAGGAATGAAAAGAAAGGGAGCTTAAAATATAAGAGGAGTAAAGCCCCGACCACCACTTATGAAAGTGTAGTATAGTTCCCACTCCATCCCCCCTTATTCTGTTCATTTTGTTTACTGTAGTGCTTACTGCCTTACCATATAGTTTACTCATTTAGTTTACTATTTATTGTCTCCATCCTGCTCCGGGAACGGGATTTTTGTCTATTTTGTTCATTTATTAACTGCAAGTATCTAGAATAGCATCTGAAATACGGCAGGTTGAATAAATGAATCAAGAGCTAATTTTCTACAGCAGCGAGTGGGGCCAGAACACAGCCAACAATATGGTTCCTGCCTTCACAGCACTTAAGAGTCGAATTGTGAGGTAGTCTCCATTAGATTCCACGACTTCCCGCCTTCTGCGGGTAACGAGGGAGCAGGGAAAGGAGAGGGAAGCCTGAAAAAAAGCCTGTTTTCCAGCTGGATGAAAAATGATGGGGAGTATTCGATAATTCTGACCTGCGTTGAGTCTTTTTTGTTCAGAGCTGTGATTTAAACATCGCCAAGGTCTTTGGTTCATCATGTGTTTGTTCTGTCTCTTAAGATTAAACACGATTAGGTCTTTGTACTTCAACTTTCCAAGCCTGGCACACTAGAGTGATGGAAGAAAGCTTTATGGCGGAGGCTAAGCAGTGCCAGGTTTCTCAAGTACACTTTTTTGCGAGGCCGACCTCTGGGTCCTTAATCTGTGTGCTGGCAGTGATGATAAGGCAGGGGAGGGGAAGAGATTGATTCCAAAAGAGGTGCCCGCGGTGCGAACAGTAAAGAACCGCTTCCGAGACGCAGCCGCGCCCTCTACCTCCCGCCTAAGCTGACCAACGGCGCAAACCGGACTGCGCCTGCGCGCGGGCGGCCGCGAGCTGCGAGCCGCCCGGCTGGCGCTGGGAGTCACGTGGTGCGCCGGGACACCGCCCCGCCCCTCCAAGGCCGCCCCGCCCCTTTCCCGGCGGGACGCTCTGAGCCGTCCGAACTGCGCAGGGCCGCCGGGGGTGAGTGTCCGCGAGGGGCGCGCATCGCGCACACCCGGGCGGGTTGGGGCTGGGGCGCGGGCCGGCTGGACCCGTTGCTGGGGCCAGGGGGACAAAATGGCGGCGAAGTACGCCCTTTCACCTCTCCCTCACCTGGGAGTGCAGGCAGAGCGGGCAGGGATCGTTGCTGGGGGAGGGGAGCCGCGGTCGCTTGGGAGGGCCCCGGGGTCGGTTGGGGGGACTTCTGAGGGGAGGTGAGAAGGCTCCTAAATCTGTCCGGGAGGGCGGCTGCCTGCCCTGCGTTCTTAGCGGGAGTGCGACGGACATGGGACCCCGCGCGGCACGGGGTCCGAGGGTGGGTGGGAGTCTGCCTCACCACTCCTGGTGAGTGGGGGCCCCCAGCCGCGCGTGACAAGGCTTCTGGAATGTGAGAACTGCAAGGGGCCTCCAGAGCAGCCTCCCTCCCCTCCCTTCATCTGACAGGTGATCGCCATCGCCATCTCTGGTTCTCTGCGGAGTTTACCGTGCTTTTCCTGCGCCGTGACCCTGGTCTTAGCTCTGCTGGGGAAGCAGGGCGGGAATGGTCTCCATCCAACAAATGCGTATGCTGAGGCCCAGAGGGGTGCAGGGTTTAACCAGGACCTCACGCCTGGGGAGAGTGGAGTCCAGCCTCCTGCTTCTCTTTTCTCGGCAGCTGCTTCGCGCCTTCCTTCCCCCCGCCCCCATCCCCGTTTTCTAGGCGCGTTCTTGAAACCAGGTAGAGTGGAGAACAGGCTCCAGGGAGTGACAGGATTATTACAAAGCAGGCAGAAAATTGGTCCTCCGAGCGGCACCTGCTACTGTCAGGTGGCTCCCGCTGAGATGCCTGAGATGCCTGTTCCTGAGCAGCTTCCTGGTGCTTGGGGGACAGTGTTTCTCATTCTGTTTGTGCCATGTTAAATTTTCCATGAAAATAACTGTTTACTATAATCTTACTTAATAAATACTAATTCCTTACGTGTATTGCATTTTTTTAAAGTTAAAATTGATAACATCAGTATGAACTTTTCATCCTTATAAACAACCTGAGAGAATGATGAGAGAGGTGGGACTAGAGTTATGCTCTTTTATGAATGAGGAAGCTGAGGCTCACAAAGATTAATTGCTCTAGATCACTGGCTGGTGAGTGGTAGCTCTGGGATTAGGCTGTCTACTATCTTACTTTGGCCTAAATTGGTGCTCTGTCTCTTGGAATTTTTCTGTTAACATTGACTTTTGCTCAAAACTTGTTGGGTGCAGATTGATTTATGCCACATATTGAAGTGATGTGAATAATATCCACTGAGGAATTAAAACTTTTAATTTATCAAAAAGTCAATTTTTAATATGATTTGCAAAGTTGTCTTTGTGGGAGTGATCTGATGGCTTTGAAGGCAGAATGATCAGTTTGAATCCCAGCTCCATCACTTGTCCTTTGGCAAATTAAATTTTTTTGAGCTTTCATTTCCTTATCTGTAAATCTGCGTCTCAGATTTATTTATTCATCTATTTTTTCAGGCACAATCTCACTGTGTTGCCCTCTTTAGAGTGCTGTGGCGTCATAGCTTAGAGCAACCTCAAATTCTTGGGCTTAGGTGATTCTCTTGCCTCAGCCTCCCAGGTAGCTGGCACTATAGGTGCCCACCACAATGCCTGGCTATTTTTTGTTGTTGTTGTCATTGTTGTTCAAATCCTTCAGCCCTGGTGTATGTGACTGGTGCCCTAACCACTAAGCACGGGGGCCAAGCTGTCATAGATTTATTGATTGCAATAAATGAGGTATATGTAAAACATTTATACTGTTTATGACCCATGATAAGCCCTCAACAAATTCTTGCTCCTTTCTTCCCACTCCCTTGAGCTGCATTTAAAAAATTCTCTATGTGATTTAGCCTACTTGGCCTGCTGTCACAAAAGATTTTAATGTTAGCAGAATCAGTGTTTAGTAAGGGCCTGCTTTTTGGATTATATATGGCAACTTATAGCTGTGTCTTCGCATTGTGGAAAGGGTGAGGGTATCTCTCTCTGGCCTCTTTTATGGGCATTAATCCCATTCTTGAGGGCCTTGTCCTTACAGTCTAAACATCTCCTAAAGGCTTCAGGGGTCCTCAAACTTTTTAAACAGGGGCCAGTTCACTGTCCCTCAGACTGTTGGAGAGCGGGACTGTGGGCCCCAGGACGAGTTGGTTGCTAAGCAGGACAGGCAGTGGTGGCAAAAACACCTGGCGGGCCGGATAAATGTCCTAGGCAGGCTGCATCTGGCCAGCGGGCTGTAGTTTGAGGACCCCTGCATCTGCCTCTTAATACTGTCACCTTGGGAGCTAGGATTTCAGAATATGAACTTTGGGGAATGCAGACATCCAGACCATAGTGCTATCTATGGTAAACCACCTGCTCATTTAGGAAAAACAACCATGGAAACATAATCAGTGTTACTTTACAAATTTATAAAAGAATAATTTTGGTGACGGTTCCAGAGGATATAGTGTTTTATTTTGTTTTTTTTAGGACAGAGTCTCAGTCACCCTGGGTAGAGTACGTGGTATCATTGCTCATAGCAACCTCAAACTCTTGGGCTCAGGCATCCTCTTATCTCAGCCTCCCTAGTAGCTGGGATTACAGGTGCCTGCCACAATGCCCAGCTGGTTTTTCTATTTTTGTAGAGATGAGTGTCTTCCCTCTTGGTCAGGTTGACTGCTCAAGCATTCCACCTGCCTTGGCCTCCGAGAGTGCTAGGGATATAGTGTTTTAAATACAGTCTTTAAAAATGCTTTGTAGGTATTTAAGAATCACTAAAAGATTGGTTTGATATCAAGTATTCAAGACTTTATTAATGCCTTCATTTAACTACTTTACACTATTTTTTTTGAGACAGAGTATTACTTTGTTGCTCTTGGTAGAGTGTCGTGGCATCATAGTTCACAGCAACCTCAGACTCTTGGGCTTAAGTGATTTTCTTGCCTCAGCTTTCCAAGTAGCTGGGACTACAGGCACCCATCACAATGCCCTGCTATTTTTTAGAGATAGGGTCTTGCTCTTGCTCAGGCTGGTCTTGAACCTGTGGGCTCAGGCAATCTACTCATCTTGGCCTCCCAAGTACTGGGGTTACAGGTGTGAGCCACTATGCCTGGCCTTTATAGAAATAATTTATTATATATATATATATATTTATTTATTTTTCTGAGATAAGGTCTCACGATGTCACCCTTGGTAGAGAGTTGTGGTGTCACAGCTCACAGCAACCTCAAACTCCTGGCCTTAAGCAATTCTCTTGCCTCAGCCTCCCAAGTAGCTGGGACTACAGGCACCTGTCACAAACACCCAGTGTACAGAAATATTTTAAAGATAAATAAGATGAAGAGACTTGAGATTCTGTCTTTCCTCTTTATATGTAACCACAACCCAACCTGATTTTATTTATTTTTAGATACTAGAATTTTTATTTAAAAAGTAGTAGATAAATCAAAATTTCAAAATATGGAAAAGATAATTACTCAGCATCAACATTTCCCCCTTTTCCCCATGTTTATGGAATCTTTTGATTGTCAGTGTATACTGCACAAAGGGATAAATCATTTGTCTAGACTTGTCACAACATTCCCATTAATTTCAGGTTTTTGTCTCTATGTTCCCTATGGATCTGGTTTCCATGTTTCTAAGTATGGCCAAATAAATAGGTTTTTGGGCAATATTTTGCTTCATGGATAAAGGGCCCAAGATTTTTAAAACCAAAAGATAGCCTTTTGTCCCTGTTCTTTTTCTCTCCTGGTAATACTGGTCAAGGACCTGATGGCTGGATTTAATGCAGCCTATTTGTGAGTTTGATCCTAAAATATGAGAATGAGGAGCTAACATGTTAAAGATGATGGTATGGTAAAATCTACAGATTCTGGGCCCCTAATAACACTGTTTATCCACTCCACCAAACCTGGAAATACCTACCTCTAGCCTCTTGTTACATGAAATAATTAAATGGCTTTATTGTTAAGTTATCATAAGTTAGGTTTTTATGATTTGAAACTGACTTGAGACAGATAAGGAGGAGGTGTCCAGATAGTCAAAATAGGGTTTATGAGGCACTCATTATTTTAAGCAGAGTTGTCTGTTTATGCCAAGATATAAATATAAAGGTATAAGATAGAGTATATTAAAGAATGCACTTAGCTTACAATGTTAGTGATGGGAGTAATGACTGGCATATGGGTTCTTGCATTTTTACAAGCAAAGCTAGCTGTATGTTGTAACAGATTACTCTGGTGACTAGTAGTCAGCAGACAAATGCAGCAGCAGATCAGTTGCATTAACAGAATATTGTCTTTATTGCACGTGTAGTTTGAGTGCAGATTCCAAACCTAGGGCTGAGTTTCTTCTAGTATGATTGAAAGTTTTTTTCTTTGCTCTGAATGCAACTGAACTATAGGGAGTGCCCCCCAAAAAACAGACCCCCAAATTATAGCGTTTACCAGAAATGTTGAATACAATTGGGCATAATGAAATGAATAGGTGATATTGCTATGTAAATTTTTTTATACATAGTAGGATTTAATAATAAAATGTTAATTGGATTGCTGAGTAACACGATATAGGAAAGAGAATGATGAAATGCATTTCCTAGATTTGTGGTTTAAGTAGTTGTATGGATAAGATTGGTTAAAACAGGTATATGAGGAGGAGAACAGGCCTACCTTTTTATGTGATCCTACACATTTTGGATATCTAATTCCCATAGTATTTATCAGTAGTTATTAGCAGCAATATTAATTGGCAGCATATAACTAAAAAGATATCTTTGATTATTAACTATTATCTGTTCTTCTGTGAAATCGATAAGTTCTGCTAAAAATTAGCAAAAACAAAACAAGAAACAAAAAACCTCAAAGTCTAAAGCTTGGTTCAATAAATAAAAATTATTCCCTGTTTTACTGTTTATAAATCAAAACTCTATAAAAATTAGATTACTTTAAAAAGTAAAACTATTGGCTCGGTGCCTGTGGCTCAAGTGG